GGCCACACCGCCCACTACAGGAGGTGATCCCCGCGGGTCTGGCGCTGTTCCCGCTGGCTGACCGTTCACACTACTTTCTACTCATACCTACTCATACCGACTCAGTACGTACTGTATTGAGTACAAGCGCATTAATACTAGGTACATAGTACTTATAGTATTGACCACGGCGGATCCGTGAATAATGTTGACGTCCTTCATACATTAGTGGGTTCGAAGGCTAGAACTGACCATGGCATGGACACAAGGCAATCTACTTGTTGCGGTAGTTGAATGGTAAGATACCCTATCGTCTACCTTACCTCGCATGAGTGTCAGCCACCAGCCGAGTAGTAACTTCCTCGATCCAAGGCAAAAAAGCCTGATCGGAGCCATTAGCCGCATTGCCAAATTCTGTTTAACTGTCGAATCGATCATACTCAAGGTCATTGGCGATCAACGTACATATACTGAGTAGTAGTCCCAGTCGATCTCGGGTGGAGCTTCCGTTGATTGCAGCAGCCTACCAAGCCATTGGCTATGTGCCTATTTTACCGGAAAAGAGCCGATTGTCCATGTTGAAGTCAACTGTTGGGTTGCATCAGGCAACTTCAGCAGGGCACCCACTACATACACATAGATGGTGGCCTCTGCTTCCCGGTCGGAAAACTAGAGTACTGTAGATAACAGTGACAAGACACTTCAGTCGTACCCACCTATCACTGTTCGTTGATAGCCATCATCGAGATCATCAAGCCCGACAGTAACTATTTCCAATCTCGGACTCAAATCCAGCTTGTGGACTAGAGTGCGTTTGAGTTTGGGTTTGAGTCACAGAAGCTGCCTGTTATCCCAGCTTCGTTGCCACCATCTGCTAGGCAGATGCGACGATCCTCTTTCCCGGCCGTATTGCACATCATCGGCTATAACGATCACTCAACCCGAGTACCAGATAGCGCGCTGTCACCTGCGCGTTTCAGCCAGCAGCTAGTCACTAGTCCCCTGTACCAGTACTCGCGGTGACCGAGTAGTCAAGGACGCTTTTCGATCCAACAAGTTTCAAGTTGGCTTGTGTGCTATGGTGCTGATTCTGAGATTGAGTGTATGTTGTGTAGCCAAACTCCTTGCAGTAACCGTGGATATCGGCCACGCACTCCGAACCTTGACGGGCCGGGGCGGGCGCGAATTGCGGGAGCCAATGCTCTTGACTCATTTTCTGCCCTCCCCAAAGACCACACCTTTTTCCGATTTCTGGTCGCAGACGCAATCTCGAGACAGTTAAAGTCACTGGGGTCTGGTGCAAGTCATCACGTCTCTCTATTCACCGTGAGATGCATGTACGATTGTTTTATCGTTTTGTGGAAGGACGGGTGATGTACCGTACAGACATACAGACATACGGACATACATACCGCGTTCCATCCCGTCATGAGGGGAGAAAGCATAACAGCTGATACAGGAATTGACGTAATTCGCGCCTGTCGGCTGTACCTCTGATAATTAGGCAGGACTGTGGCATACCAGCCGGTCTGGTCTGCAATAGCACCGCAAGGTGGACCTAGATAAAGAGCTGAGATACACCAAAGCTACCGGGCTGGCTGTTTGCGGCCAGGCAGGACCGTTGATTGATCTGATCTCCAGAGTTGATTGGCGACCCAGGGAATTGACAGCATTCCAATCTCGGATCGACCATTGTCTGTTTTTAGCACTCGCTATGGATGCCCGGATAGTATACACAAGATAGATAGTTGGGGGTTCCTCCACATTCCTGAGGGAGTCACCCGTATTCCAAATTGTAACAGCATCCTAAAGGGCAAGGATCGCAGCAAAAATGAGCCATCTATGTCTTGAATTCCGTTGCAAAAGCGAAGTCGGATGATTGAGAGGGTCTTGGGGGGGGGGGGTACATATGAATACCCGGGGTGGTGGTGATGGTAGTGGTGGTGGTTGTTGCATAAAGAACGATGAGAGAGGGTGGGGAGGGGGGGAAGGGGGGGGGGAAACTAATTCCATCCATCAACGGCGCCAAATTAGTATAAAAATCCATGCGTTAGACTTCATTAGAATGTCAAATGCCCAAGCGAGCAGGGAGTTGCAGAACTAAGGATCCTACCACACCCTATCAGATGGCATAGGCAGATGCACGCCTTCTCGGGAAGCTACAGGCTGCTGGCTGCACAGTGTCACGGACCGCCTCTCTGTGTCAGCCCCCGACGTGCTCGGACAGGCGATGGGAGAAGGCAATGGGTTTCCAAGGAGGCAAGTCATCGCAATCCACTCGACTCCAACTCCTTCTACAGAGTGGTCCGTGGCTCAGGTAGCCTATGACCGTGTATTGGCAAGCAGTAGGGCTACAATCAATTATCACTGTACGGAGTAGAAGGATGAGGCTCCGGTACCGAGACAATCATGTTCCCTATTCGGGTCTAATGCAGCCTGCAATGGAGGTAAGATGCGATCAATACTAATCATGATAATGCGGCATGGTTTCTCCAGCTCGTCGATCCCGCTAGTGTCCAGCGATCCTCCGAAATGATAAAGTGTTCGCCGGTTACAGGCAGCTAACAAAGCTGGAGAAGAATTGCTGGATCAAGCCACGGATCCTTTCTTCCACATGGGAGCTTTAGATCATTCATCCATTCCTCGATACCCGCGATATGCCACCGTCTGTCCCAAAGCTCGTTTCTCGATTAATTCCAAGGGGATTGCTACTCAAGGACGATGAACCATTTCTTGCTCAGTTGAATCATGATGTCATAGGTCTTGATCTCGAAGTGAAATAGCGTATTCATGAGTACTCACGCTCCTTGGTCATTTAGTCTTTCTGTCTATATGTGTACATGATCCGGTATGCTTAGAGCAGAAGGAGGGGGAGGGGGAGGGGGAGGGGGAGGGGGAGATGATGGGTGGTGGTTCTGGCATCTGATACATTCTTAGTGGACTTTGCCCTCGTATCGAAGACGACTTTTCCCTCCCTAAGCGTCGGGAGTTGTCCCGACGGATATTGATAAGCAATTGTGTCCTGTCCCCATTGCGCGCACCTTCACCTTCATCATCACCTCTTTTCCGCTTTTAGGCGAATAACGGGCAGATACGAGTGAATGAGAAAAACCTGCCAACTCCCCAATAAGAAGGAAGAGGATGGCAGACTTAGTAACTGAGTAATCGTCAAGCAGAGGCTGACGCGGGTGAGTCATTGAACTTCCCTGGCAGAGGCGGAACAGGTGACAAATATAGTAGTACTTGGGAGATGCTCATGGGATTCGGGGATGGACGTTATTCTCCTCTATGCGGACGGTGCTACCCTCCTTGACAGTTGACTGTCTTTTCTATACTGCACCCCCTCCAGGCCGGGCTTCCTCCCCTCCCTCCCTTTTCCAGTCGGATTCTCCAACCACAACCATCATCCCCCTTCTTACCTCTCGCATTGGTCTGATTGACGGGCTTAAATGTCCTGCATCTTGCGATTTGGATAGCGTATCCTTCGTCTTGCCTACCGGCTGCTGCATCGTGATTGGCTCTCGCCCTCTCCCTGGCCTTCCCCCCCTCCATCCTTTGGCCTGCGTTTTAGTTTATGCAGTGCTATTTTATTTGATTTTATTTCATTTTATTATTGTGTTTGTGTTTTTTTTTTTACCACTTTTCTTTTTTCTTCTTTCACCTACTTACTCTTGTCACCGGAGAGGAATTAATACCCTTCTTATTTTGATTTTTGATTCTCCCTTCACTTTCCCTGAATCATTCTAGCGACATTCTATCTGGCTGAAGAACCGGTTTACGCAAGTAATTCCTGTGGGTGGTGTGTTAAGCCTCGCTGAGTTGAGGATCGACGCCCTGCATGACCTGAACCATGATATAGCAAATGAGAGGAAGTGAATATTGTCGTGAATCTCCTTTATATTCGTCTTGTCCTCTGCACTGCCAGCCCTAGGTCTTGGGAATTCCAGTTCTTGTACTGTACCTATAAAGTATACCCTTCTCCCAACTTACTTTTTCTCCCTTCGCCATTGTCTTATTGTGTTCCTGGCCGATAACGCTAGGATTTCCCTTCTCGAGTCGCTGCATTGCCCAGCTGTTGCGGAGCTGATACGACCCTGATTTTATAGCCATCTCTCTTTTCCCACTGGTCCCAATCTTTGCTCTGTTGCTGAGCACGAACCCCTCGTTGTGTCGACTGTCGGCATTAAGCAGGGTTTATGTAAGTGTTCACAGCCTTAGGTGTCCTGCTTTCCCCCCTAACCCTCAAAGCCCCAATACTCGTGCATATAAACTCCCCTTCCGCCGATGTGATAAGGCTGGCTGTTCAACACTGTGTTGTCTTCCAAGCCTTTTGCTTTTCCCCTTCTGCCTGGCCTTGTTAGTGGAGCATATGCGGCTCAATCCTATTCTCCACGTGTGCGCATCTGTTTCCCTCTGTCTGATTGCCTTTTCATCCTTTTGGCTTCTTGACGCCGCCATCAAACCTGTGTCCTCGGATACATCTTTAATGCCAGTACTGATCATCGCCCAGGACGTCTATGAGCAAATCACCTAGCTATATCTCGCCTATCTATATCCTTTTCATCAATATCTGGTAAGCATGATACGTTTCTTCTTCTGTCCTGATTTCTGTTTCCTATGTTTCTCTTGGCGGATATCATCTCTCTCTTTATTTTCTATCATGGCCCAAGCGCACATACACACACACACACACACATGCACACCCCGGGACCATTATGACTGCGGAAGAGAGCGGCCACTCGAGCCAAGACCTACATCGGCAAAAGAGGCCCCTCGGCCGGAGAGCATCATCCATCAGTTACGTCACCGGCTTGGAGCCCGGGGAAAGACCGAAGGAAGAGAAGCATGCAGGTGTGATGGCCTCTCAGCCCCTGCAGATTCTCTAGGCGGAAGCCCAATGTCCATCAAACCCGGATGGATTATTGGGAGAACAATAAGGCGCCTATGCGACGATCCAACGTGGTCCGACAGTGTCCGTGGGGCGCTCTTACTGTGTAGGATCACCGAGCCGTCCTAGTCTTGTCTCACGGACCCCGAAACGGGAAGATCTGTCCGTCTCGCGTGAAGCGCGGGGATTACATCTCGAGGGGTAATGAGGACAGAGCTGAGGGGCTAAGGAGGGGGGAAGAAGTGACGGCAAAGAGAATGCTTTCAAAATGCTTTGCTTTGGAATTTGGTATCAGTGCCATCAGCTGCATGGTAACCATGACCAAATTCATGGAGGTGGGAGGTGGGAATGGACCATCCAGATGATCCACAACGGAGTTATCCGAGAATCTGGGGATGACAAGAGAGAGGGAGAGAGAGAGAGAGAGAGCGAGGCAGAGGACATACTGCCGAGATTTACCGCCCTCCTAATGAAGTGGGGCGTGGTCCACCGCCTCTGGCGCTCTTTGCGCCTATTGATTGTGTCTCAATCCAGCCAGTTTTACCTGGCTGGCAACAACAACAAGAGTCTCTCTCGGTCTCCAGGCTGGCTCTCCCCCTCCACAGCCCACTTTCGGACTACACTCTTCCCTTGGCCTTACCCCGGACCAAGTACCGCCTCAAATTCCCAATTCTTTCCCCTCCTTCCTTCCTTCTTCCTCCTTTCCCTTTCGCTCTCATCAATCAATCCCGATTAATTGAAGCAACACAATATCTCACTTCTCTTCTTTGGTGGCGATTCTACTCTCAACCTTTCCCACAAAGATTACAAGGCTATTTCCGGTCTGATCTGACACCTCTATTTCCCACCTCACTCTTATCACTTTATTGCCTGGCCTTGGACTTTCTTCCTCCCCCCCCCTCCCCCTTCCCTCCCCTCTCGTCCCTCGTCCCTCCCCATTTTGGTTCAGTCCGTCGCCTCCGCGGCCCCGTCCATCTATTCTTGTCTCTTGCCCGCCTTTCTCTCCGTCTCCTTTATTTTATTTTATTTTTTTTTCTTTGCCTCGCTTATGGCCACTCAACGACGGAGCCTTTTCCTTTGATCGCCGCCGTCCTGTCCTCTTTTCTTTTTTTGGTTCATTTCAGCTCCTCTCTTGACTTTCTTCCCCAGTCACTTACCCCAGGCCAACCTTATTAGACATTCTTCTTTCGGCGCGCTCGACGAGTGACAGCACAAATAACTCGGACTTTTCTGGCCTCCGTCCACGATAGTGGCATTTTTCCGTCCTGTCCACCTCCCCCAAATCCTGCTTTCGCCCGGCACTCTGTCCACCGCGCCCGCTTACAGTTCATCGCGACAACCCCTCGCGTTACCCCCGTTCCGTTCGGACGCCATAAACCAATCGCATTCTCCGTCCATCTAGGAGGCATCGCCAGGCTTGGCTTTCGTTACTAGACTGAATTTCTCGTTTGCTTGGTAAGTGTCCCCCATACTTGTAGTCGAGGTCTGAGCCACCCCCGTTGGCGTTCTCCGACTCGACTCATAGGGCGGTTCATTGCCACACGCATCTCTCCTTGTTTAAGAACCAGGCTGACGGAACCTTGGAATCTTATTAGATCATTAGATCTTCTCCGGCTAATTTTGCTCGGTCGAACCCCTTTGATGAATCGACGTCACCGTCCGTTGACTATCCAACACCGTCTGAATCATTCGCCCTGCCGATAGGACGATTTTATTCCACCACCGGAGATCAAGTTTATCTTTTGACAATCTGTGTTTGGCGAGCATCAAGTTATCATCTCTACCAGGTTCGCCTTTGAACCGTAAGATCACCCTCTGATAACACTATTGACTTGGATTGGAAGGCTGGGGCGCATGCGCGGGGAAATGACGGAAACTAGCATTTTCATCAAGACTGAGCCTGACGAGCACAGCAGTGACCCACACCATTATATAATGTCGCAATCCGGCTATTCGATGTCAAACCAGTTCGGGAACCCTAATGAAGGGGTTGACCCTTCGGAGTTGAGCATGCAGAACGGCTTCATGTCATACCCGTTCTCCTCGCAACAGAATCTTTCCTCTAGTTTCAATTTCGGCAACTCTGGGATCGATACCGATGAGCTGCTGGATCTGGAGATTAACGGCCACAATGGAGTCCAGCAGAACTATCTCCAGGACCAACAGTCAAGCGCTGGGATCTCGATGAGTCACCCGGGCCAAATGTCACAGATGTACTCCAACACGCCAGATGGAGCTCCCATGCACAGTCCCTTCATGCATAGTTTCAATTATGACCACTTCCGGAGCATGGGCCAGCCAGGACAAGCGCCTCACCTCCAGGGCAACGGATCCCATTTTGACCAGAGCTATCTGAATGCCAAGGCTCGGCCAAGCATACAAGCGCTCGACCGGGCCTCGTACGACGGACGCAGCCCGATGACCCCCAAGACCCCAGCGCTCGGCGCTTTGACCCTTGGGACGCCGGAGTCCGGGAGCTTCCCTACTCAGCCCATTCGGACTGGCCTTCAGCATCGGCACCAGAAGACGCTATCCAACCAGTGGGATGGTACGCCCGGGAGTGCACATTCGTATGTGGAGTCACCCATCTCATCTCCTGGCCATCCATCTCATCATGCGGGGATTTCGGAAATCCTCAAATCGGGCAAGCATGCTTCCTTGCCGGCCAAGGTTGATACGCATATGCCAGGGTCCGCACAGGACTTAGAATCGCAAGAGGCGAAGCGGCGCCGTCGCAGAGCCTCTCACAATCTCGTCGAACGCCGGCGGCGAGACAACATCAATGAACGCATTCAGGATCTTTCCCATTTGGTGCCCCAGCACCGCTTGGAGGATGACAAGGTTCGTAAGCAGCTTGTCAACAATACTGCCATGTCTGGTACCGGAGCTACCGCGAATGCTGCAACATCCCTGCTCGCTGGAGGCAATGGGCGCCGCGCCACTGCTGGTAACATCACCATGGGTCTCCCAATCGAGGAAAAAGAGAAAGGGCCCAACAAGGGAGATATCCTCAACGGAGCAGTCGGTTGGATGCGGGACTTGATGTGGGCCCTGCACGTCAAGCTCCAACAGGAGTCAGAGCTGGCAGAATTGATCAGCAGGCTGGGTGGCACTTGGCCGTTTGAGCAGACCGAGGAGGAAAAGCGTATGCGCACCGAGATCCTCGATGCGCTAGAGAAGAATGATCCTAGCTCCTTTGCCTACAGCAGAGCGCCAGGCAGCGGTCTCCGGGTGCCCAAGCACACCAACATTGCTGGGGATTCTGTCAGCGGCAACGGAACATTGAGCCCCCAGAGTCTGAGCCCACCTTTCAACAGTGGCGGCAGCAGCAATGGCGGGGGCTCTGGACAAGCCCAGTATTGGAATAGCTCGGGCCATGCTGGCATGAGCTTCAAGGAAGAAGACGAATACGCAATGGAGATGAACTAAATCTTGTTCACGCTCCGGATGAGCTCTGCCTTTCACATCTTGAACGACTGCATGTCATGACCTTGTTGTACACAAAGGCGTCAAATGGGTGACCGGCGTACGCGGAAGTTTGACAGATTTCGTCGAGGCTAATGGCTGAAATGACCTTTCTTGTCATTGGTTCTCAAGGGTGTGCTTTGATTCCTTGTTCTCTTCTGTCCTCAATTCTCATTCTTGGATGGCTTCTGATTGATGCTGTTTTTGCGAGTTTGTTTGTTATGGCTTTGGACTTTGCTCTCCTTAATGGCGACTGTCGTCGGATTCTGATTTTTACCTTGACATATCCATTGTTCCTTTGGCTCTCTTTCTCTCCTTGCTCATTTCTACATCGATACCCTTTTCCCTTTCTAATTATACGCTTGATACGCCTTGACAATCTTGCTTTATTGTTGTGTGTTAACGCATGGAAACCCATTCTCGGGCGTCATTAACGGCTGATTGTTTCGACCTTCATAATATAAGTCATTTTATATAACGATATTTGCATTCAATACTTGACTCGATTGATACCTAGCCAGTAAGCCAGTAAGCTTGTACTGATCGACGGTCGGCCTCGACCCCTCGAGGTGGATGGTAGGTAGAGTACATTGTCATCATAGGGCAGATGCACAGGGTATGCACATACTAGAAGGGGAGTGGCGGCCCTCAGCCCACTTGATAGGTACTAGGTGCAGTACTGTACTAAGGTGGGTGATGGATCCGAACTGGGATCCTGTCCAATGTGGACGAACTACTGTAGGACCCTGGGTGCTGTGAATGGACGAGAGGGGGGATGGAGGGGGGGGGGGACATCCTTGCACGTGCGTGCGGTTCCTCCACCCCCAGCCTTACTGCCAGCAACTGACGCCGCCGCCGCCGCCGCGGCGTCCTAATAGGTCGTAGCGTCGATGGGAGGGAGGTATGTACCGTTTGTGTCCGTGGTGTAGCGGGTAAATGGTCTACCCACCGAGTGGATCTTTGGGTGCCCATCTGTGAGTATTTCATTTATTTTCTTAGGGTAGGTCATGGAAAGGGAGTCATGTAGGATGCGGTGTACTGTTGAATATCATCTTTACAAATGGCTGGCTTCCTGATTTGGTATCACATCAACGGATGATCGTCTTCTGCATGCAAATACAAGAAAGGTTATTCATAATAACGACAACAACGACAACAATAGAGGATGAATCTATTGCGACAAGATAAGACAAATCCGATATCTCTTTTCTATCCTTGCTCTTTTTCTTCTCCCTCTCCCTCTCTCTCTCTCTCTTTTCTCCCCTCTTCTATCATGATGATCATAAAAAAAAAGTAAAAACAACCGAAAGCCAGAAAGGAATCTACTCATCGCGCATCTTGCGGAAGAAATCCATCACGCCGGTGAACACGACCAACAGGATACCACCGCCGGGGCCCAGCCGCAGGACCTTGGGGATGAAGCCCTTGTACAGGGCGCCGAAGCCTTCCTCCTTCATGACGGTGCCGACGGCGGGCCAGGCCCAGTTGTACTTGGGGACCTGGCCAGGGATCTTGTCGGTGTTCTGGATGCGGCTCTTGACGACGTCCATGGGGGTGTTGAGGATGGTACCCGCGGTGCCGCCGACGGTACCGGCGATGAGGTCGTTGCGGGTCTGCTGGGCCTTGTTGCCGGGCTCGGCGGCGGGGAGCTGCGCGCGCACCTGGAAGATGCAGCCGAAGTAGCCGGAGTTCCAGAGGATGTGGCGCCACAGGGTGGACTCGAGGCCGTTGTACAGGGCCAGGGGGCCCTCGGCCGCGACGATCTTGCGCACCACGTCCAGCATCCCGTTGTACTTGCCGGCCGACGCGCGGTCCTGCAGCCGGATCTTGACCAGCTCGAAGGGCACGACCACGAACGACTCCGTCGCACCCGCGGTGGCGCCCGTCAGGATGGCGAGAGACTGCGTCTGCTCCGCCGCGCCGAACAGGTTCCGGTAGAAGCTGCCCCAGCTGTCGTTGGCGGCGAATTTGGTCGCGCGCTTGGGCGCTTCCATCAGGATCGGGGCGGAAATTCCGCGGTACAGGCGGGAGAAGCTGGTGCGATTGAAGGGGGAGGTGTTAGTTTGTGGGCCTCGGGTTTGTGGTGTTGGGGTTCCGGACGGAGGAGGAAGGAGGAGGAGGTTGTTTACCCTTCGTTCTTCACGATCTTGCGCAGGCAGTCGAACATGCCATTGTAGTGGTCTTGTCCCGCGGTGGCGGCACCGGTCTGAAGTTGACTATCAGAGCGGTCATGGTGTGTTAGTCCAAGGGTGTTTGTCTGTGGGGTTGATGGCAGGGAGTCGGAAAAGGTGCTTGGTGCTTGGGAAGCTTACACTCGGGTCTTGACCACGTCAAGTGGGTACCTGGGGTTAATGGTCGTTAGTCATTGCAAACATTGGAGAGATTACGATTGCATCGTACATAACCAGAATCTATCCCATCAATATTAGCTTCCAGGTTGTTCAGAGTCAATTGATGGGGATCACGCGATGCGTACCTCGGACACACCAGCCACGGCACCAGCAATGAACTGGTACTGGAAGGGCAGGGGCTTCTGTTGGTTTTGGCTGGCCATTTTGATGACTGAATGGTAAGAAAAGAACACAATTGAAGGGAGGAAGAGGAAAATGCAATGACAAAACTCAAGAACAAAATGGAAATGCAAGAGGAAGAAAAAGCGAAAAGAAGCAAATGGGGTTGGAGTGGAGCGGGCCAAGTTGAAAGAGGAGAAGGAGGAGAAGGAGGAGGAGGAGGAGTCAACTTGAAGGCGGCGGCGGCGGCATCGGAGAGGGTCGGAGGGTCTCTTGACTCTCTCTTCACCGGGATTCCTCCCGATCCGGTAAAGCAACACGCCCCACGTGCTCCAAAGCCCCACGGGGCTTTTTTGCCTGTCAAAGCTGAATCGCTTATCCGTGAGCCATCAATTACTTTTACCTTTTTCCGCATTGCCTGTCGGCTTGGGCTTTCATTTAACCGTCCGTGATCTCATATCTTTCGTTATAACTAACTTAAAAGGCTATCAGCTCATGCTTAGAACTGTTACAGTTACTGCAACTACGATGCTCACTCCTGCCATCCCTCTTGACACCCCTCTCTTTTGACTTCCACTCGTCGGTTGCTCCTTCGAGACAGTCTCCGTGGCCGTCGAGACTGCCGTACAGCTGGAGCCGCACCGGTATCCCGTCGGGCAGCAACCACCCCCAACTGTATCGGCGCAACTGAACCACCCACTCGCGCATCGGCCCGTACTGCTGCTGCTGCTGCTGCTGGTTGCCGCTGTGGCGGTTCCCGTCGCAGTGGTCACCGGGACCACAATGGTGACTCCATCACTAGCGATAGTCGTCGAGGGCGTCGCTGGACAAGATGTGGTGTCGCAATCGCGACCCGTCCGGCAGCACCCACCCTGGTAATATGCCGAACAGGCATAAAACCCCGTCGGACAGACTGACACAGTGGCGGTGCTGGTAGTCTTGCTGGTGCTGGAGCTCGTGGCCGTGGACACACTCGTAGGCCGTGCGGGAGGAATCAGATCCCCCGTGGATAGCGTGTTGGTAGTCGCGGCAACTGTCTGTGTGGAGGTGGACAGCATAACGGTCGAGCTCACGGTCACCGTGATGGTAAAGACCCGCATACCTACGCACGAGATCAGCATAAGTCCTGCAGCGGGGGGAAGCTTATCATCAAAGTCCACTTACAGCCACCAGTAACGCACTCATAGCCTGGAATGCAGCATCCGCCGCCCATGGATGACGGGCAGCTGGAGTACCCCTCGGAACATGAGCCGATGGTGCCCGAGCAGGTCTTGCCATTCGGACAACAGCCCACGTCCCCGGACCCGGTGTCCTTGACCAGGACGCACGTATCATCCGTACTGCAGCAGCTGTCGGGCCGGTCGATCGATGTGCAGTTGGAGGTGCCGCTCGGACAACGGAAGTCCCGCCGAAGAAGCGGTGAGAAATTCGCCCTCCAACCGCGCCCCTCGCCTTCCAAACCACTCGAGTACGAGGGGTTGAAGGGGAATGTCTGTGGTTGAAAGTCGATTTCCTCCGTCGTTTGTAGGTTCTCAGAACGTCTTGCTGGCGACGTCAACTCATCGGAGGTGTTGGACGAGTTGCCGATCGTATAATAGTTCTCGTCGTCGTCGTCATCAAATTGCCAATAATCCATGAAGAACTTTTCACCCTCATCGTCGCTCATCTTCCTGACCCCTCGTATGGGCCGATGGCCAAGGTATGACTCAATGAGAGCATTGCGCTGTATGATCTGATCGGATTGCGTGATGTCGGATGTCGATACATTGCCTGCGGTGACGAATTCGGCAAAGGATGGCCATACGACGTAGGCCAGGAGGGGTACGAACAACATGGGAGTTAAGATTGCGACCAGAGTGACTGGGGATGTCAGCCACAATGCCTTAGAGGACAAGATCAATGACTGGGAGTGACAGGCGTGCATACCTTCGTACAACCGCGATCCTTATCAGCGATAAAGGATTTCGGCAGGCGTAGTATAAAATAAAGGTGGCTGGGAGAAATTGGGGGGAAATCTATCGGCAAGGCAGCAAGATCGACCTGTCGGTAAGCGGATGGGCCTCGCAGGCCAGCAGTACAGTGATGTAATTGCTTCAAGGTCTTAAATGTCCTAATTATAGAGCGAGGTCGTTAGGATTGAGAATGCTGTATTCGATGTGAAGCTGTCGGGTTACTTACCGTGCAGACCCACTTTGCATTTGGCCCGATATTCCACTTGCTGAGAGAATATTGAAATTGGAACCATGTTCAACCCAAGTCCCCACTGGATAATTAGCATGTCTCGTGAGGTATTGGGGGACTCTGTAGTCTGGCTCTCACAAGGAGCGATCGAGTCCCAAGCCGGCTCAGGGACACACAGCCATGGCTACCGATGAAGATGCAAGAAATGCACCGCACCAGGCAACGAGTCCAACCTAACCGCCCCGTCCGATCAGGATAGCGCCTGCAATGGGGTTGCTCATGAGCACCGCTCCTATTCCTAACCGGGTGCTGTGCTAATCTTACAGCAGTCTGCTGAGAGATTCACCACCTCTGTGTGGATCCTGGAGAAGGTGGCGGCGGATATGGCGCCGGGGTACTCAAGGCTGCTTCTGCATGGAGGTTATCGTTCTCGAGGAAGTAGCGTTGCAGTCCCCGGCGCAGTTCGATTTGGCCATCATGGCTTTTAGTCCAGGGACGGAACGGACTCGACTGCAGTGGCATACGCTTCTGGAGAGTGCTGGTCTCATGGGTGGTGGAGTTTCGGGATCTGGTCGATGAGGGTGGCGATGGGATTCTTGAAGCCATGAAGCTCTAGTTCATAGATCTAGAAACCTTGGGAATTGTGTGATTGCACTCTAGACTAGGTTGGGTCCTCGGGGACAGCCTTCACTCTAGCTGTGGTGCATTATTTGGTTGAGTGTCCCTCTCTGAATGAGTTCAGCCTCCTTGGCCAATCTGAGATTGTGGTTTAATTCTGCGATGCACAGGGTCATGATAATATCGGCTGGATGATCACCTCTTGCTGTCCGCTATCTGCTATATGGCCAGGGATCAGACCAGGGGTGTTGCCAACCAGCTTTCAGTGCTGTGCAAGCGGGACTGTCACGTTGCCCCCGTCCATTACGGCATGAGTTCTACATTCAGTCTTCAAATATATCGAACTGGGTGTAAATCACCCCTCGTGCTATATTCCCATCGGAGAACTACTTCCCAACAACATCATCCTTACTCCCCAGATGCAAACCTGACCTTCATCCTCGTCCCATCCACCGGTTTAGCAGTAACCTGCATCGTCTAGAGAACATCGCGTTAACCAACATATCCCATACACACCCCCATCGCCACCAACCAGCAAAAGCAGGAAGCAGGAAGAACTCACATTAAACAATTCCTCCAGAACTTCAAACTGCCCCTTTGCATCAAGCACCGGCCGACCCCCAGCATCCCTCGCAAGCGCCCCCAGCCCGACTTTCTCGAACTCGAATCGCCGCACAGTGCAGGCCAGAATGACTCGGACCTCGATATTGACCAACCCCTGTCCGATGCAGTTGCGGGGCCCACGCTCAAATGGCCGCCACGCACTGACGGGGATCTGCCCACCACCACCGCCACCACCACCACCACCCCCAACCTTCTTCCCACTATCATCCAGAAAAGCGCCATCACCACTTTTGATACCATCAAAACCGTCCGCACTCCCCTCCAACCACCGCTCCGGCCAGAACTCCTCCCTCGTCGGCCCATAAACCGCCTCGTCGCGCTGCACCAGCGTCGCACAGTTGTACATCACCACCCCATCGAGACACATCGTCCGCCCATCGGGGAGGGTCACCGTGAACCCCGTCCCGGGGGGCATATACCGCGCCGAGCCGGAGGGGGGATGTAACCGGAGGACCTCTTTGATGACCGCAGCGGTATACGTCATCTGCGACAGATACTCGTCCCCCCCGGCGAGCAGCATCTCCGCCACCCTGGCGGGGGCGGAGGAGGTCTCCTTCCCGAAGAGCGCGTCGAGCTCGCGACGGACCGCTTTCAGCACACGCGGGGTGCGGCTGAGTTCGTAGAAGGTCCACTGCAGGAGGATGCTGGTGGTGTCGTGGCCGGCAAACAGGAAGGATTTGAGCTGGTCGGCGGTTTCGCGGATGATCTGCGGGGTGAGGTGGTCGGTGTCGTGGAGGCTGAGGGCGAGGATACTTCTGGATGAAGAGGAGGAGGATTTTTTGTCGGCCGTAGTCGTCCGAAGCTCGGTGAACTTCGTCTCGATGTGGGCTTGCAGGAGGGCGTCGATCCGTCGGACGAGATACCTGCGGCGGAGGAGGATGAACGGGGCGAGGAGCCAGGTGAGGCGGAATTTGCTGACGTTGCTGTCCCGGCGGTAGCTGGCTAGTAGCTGCCGGTAGAGGCGGGCGAGTGGGCTCTGTTGGTGGGCGGGGAGCTGGGCGTCCAGGTCGGTGTCCATTGTTGCGGCTCCTAGAAGCGAGGCAATTAGACATCTCACATTTGTGTAGAGGAGAGATGCCACAATAGACAACAATACCGATGATATCAAGCGTCAAACTGGTGCAGCGGTCCTCGAGGGAAAACTCCTCCCCGGTCCGCGCGTACTCATCCAGACACTGGATGAAGATTCGTGCTTTGTCGATGATGCAAGGCAGCAGCGTGAGGAGATGCTGCGGCGCAAAGCCCGGATTGTATCGCTTGCGCAACGCTTTCCACTGCTCGCCCTGAGGCATGGGATACATTGTATCAGTGGTCGATTCTCTCTCTCTCACACACACAAACTAAACATCGAGAAGGGTGCGCACAAACCTCCGCGGTAATCACGGAATGGGGCCCCAGTAACGGCTCCAGCGCTTTCATGGTTGGAGATTTGCGCATACTATAGGGAAAGCCCTTGGTGCTTCGGGAGATCTGCTCAGCGACCTCATGGTTGCAGACAATCCCCAGGACGCCGACGACCGGACGGAGGTCGAGAAGATACAGCGGCGGATTGCCCAAGTATTGCTGCACCTCCCCGAATACATGGTCTGCATTTGTTAGATCGAGTACGATATTCTAGGTGTCACAAAGGTGACATACCGACATGTCTGCGACGTTCGCCGCGACTGACGAACTCGTTCAGTGCTTTCATGTGTCCCCAGACCAGGGAGGGTGGAAGCTGCGGCCAGGAGGCATGCTGGTGGAATCGCAGATATCGAAGCCATTGCCACAGGTATATAGCCAGAAGAGGCAGCAGTGCGAGGAAGATAGTTAGTGCAAGCATTGCTATATGAGCATGATGATGCTGGAAAAGTTAGTGGATGAAAGTTTGTTTAATGTTGCAAGTTGACATCATATCCGATGGGGGAAACTTGAGGGAGGAGGGGGTGACATTCCGAACCCGTGACAGGGAATTCCCTCCCCACGTAAAAAGTGACAGGGATATCAAGAAAGCAAAAACTACACGTTGGTGTCACATTGCATTACATTGATTTAATGAGAGCCATGCTAGTTCACATGAAGTCAGATACTTCCAACCCAGAAGTCCTGCTGGATACATGCTGCCACCTTCATAGAACATATTTCCATTCCCTGCATATCATATCAGCAAGTCAGTAAGAGACCGCGAACAACAGCTGAAACCCTCGGGTCAACTGATCCTTCTCATGCGTCGACAGTCTTCCCTCGCCCGCCAGCATGATGAGATTCATGGCCACCTCCGTATTGGTGGGGAACGCCTTGGCGACGAGGGTGGTGACGATCTCCAGGCGAGGGCGTAGGGTGCAGACGGCCAGGTGCATCGCCTCGTAGATATGGGACTTGTGGACGAACTTGGCGTCGCCGGAGCCCCGCAGCAGGCCCTGCATCTTGCGGTTGTACAGCAGCCGGTACTGCTTCAGCAGCTCGGGGGGTTCCTCGAAGTCCTCGGCCCAGATGAAGTGCAGCGGGTTGAGGTCGGTGGTGATCCAGCCGGGGAAGCTGGAGTAGCCCAGGTAGCGCGGCATGGTGTGGGCGCCGTCCCAGTCGACGAAGCCGGTCACGGCGCCCTGCTCGTCGACGAGGACGTTCTTGGCGCTGAGGTCGGGGACGCTGAGTACGAAGGACTCGTGGGGGTCGCTGCGGCGGCGGGTCGAGCGCGGCAGGCAGTCGATCATCAGGTCGAGCAGCACGCGGCAGCCGCGGTCGCTGGGGGTCTCCGTCCACTGGGTGACGCGCTGCAGCCGGTGGCGCAGGTACGCGGTCGAGGAGGAGAAGGGCCCGCACTGCTGGACGTGGAAGACGTGGCCGCCGTCGTCCTGGTAGTTCTCCTCCCACCCGTAGCAGGGCGCCATCGCGTTGAGCTGGCCCAGCCGCTCGTCCGCCACGTCGAGCGACCCGATCTGCTCGAACTGGAACCCGCGCAGCTGCGCCATCGCCTCGGCCACACTGTTCAGGATCCGCAACCGTTTCTCTTCGAGTTGCACGGGGCCGGACCGGTCGAACCAGGCCTCCGCCACCATGCGGCCGGGGATGTAGCTGAGCACGATGTACGGCGTCTTGAGCGGGTTGGCGAATCCCGCGTCGAAGTCGAACACGTCCGGCATCGGGATCATGGTTCGTTTCTTGATGAATCGCATCATCCGCGCCTGGCTGACCAGGGCTCGCTGCGCCGCCTCCGACATCTGCCCGTGGCGGGCGCTTGCAGGCACGCGGATCACGTACTTCAGTCCGTCGCTGAATCCGATGACGTGGATGAGGTTGTAGGTGCCGATCCAGTGCTCGAGGACTTTCGCGGTGGCTTGGGTGTTGGTGATGTATTTGCTGCGGACGCTGAGGGCAAGCTCGACTAGCGCCTCGTTGCTGATGTCGAACAACTTCCCAAAGCGTTCTTGGAGGAATTCATCATGGGGCTGCTCTTCCTGGCTGACTGTTATCGGAGGCATCTTGATCGTGATATCAAACTGGAGCCGGTGCGACGAGACGTGACAGGTTCAATATGATGCTTAGGGTTGATGGAACGAGGGAGGTAGATGAGAATGAGGGTAAAAACCGGTGATCAGAGAAGGGTGACAGAGGAAAGACTAACACCGACTCGCAATAAAGAAAACGGTTGTTGGCACGCGAAGTGAGATTTGAGTGCCTGGTGTTATTCACTTGTTCTCAAATGCGAGATCGGCCTCATCTCACTTCGAGGCGGTTCGAAACCCTGTCCCTATAGTAACAGTTTGTCTCTAGCATGGTTGACTTGATCTATGGTATTCGAAGAGCAAGATGGTTCCTAAAACATAAAATATCATATGATTTTTTGTTTACATCAAAAAAGGCCAGTGGACTTAATGTCCTGGTTCACACAACCTCTTACAGATGTGACAGGAATAGGAATTCTGGCATAAGGATATTTTAAAGTCAACAGATCCGAACCCGGTGCACTTGCGATCACAAATCAACTAACATAGTTATTTCTATTCCAGTACATGCTAAATTACAAGTCACTCGCCCATGCTTATGATCTCTTGCAGTAAATCAAACCGAATCTTGTCCCCAACCCGACTATCTCTCCGGTACTCGGGATGTGCCATAACAACCGACCTCATCCACTGCGCCGGGGTAGGGAGCTCTCCACTAGCTCGTTTACTTATCACATCCAGATACGGCTTCAGTCGCTTTCTCTCTCGCAGTGGGGTGTCCATGTACTGCAGGTATGCCCATACGATGTTGATCAAGCCAGGAAACCCCGATGGAACCTCCGAGTTCTCGCCGTTGACGATTTCATCCATGGATAACAGAGCGTACTGCGCTGAGGATTCATAGCCAGCCTCTTCCGAGTCTCTCAACGTGTCCATCTTCTGTCTCATGCAGCAGTTGGGCGTGCATTTTTCACACGTATGTGGCTGTTGCTTTGCTGCAGACCAACCCGTACGACGAAACCAGATTTTCTGATCAAGCGCAGCATTGCGCTTCTGGGCTCGCTCCATAGAGTCGCTCAATTTGTCGATGGGGATGTAGAGGTTCAGGTGGAAGGCGGTGATGGCGCGCGAGAGAAGGTATATGAATATGGCAAATGCAGCATTGTCATGGTCTGTCAGTTGAACCTCCATGGGCCGAAATTCAACTCGCCAGCCGGGTCCGGAGTTGCACAATGGGGGTTTGAGCCGGACATGTTGCCATACACTATTGTATAGCATATCGAAGAGACCCGTATCGCTGGCGTCGAATTGTTCGATATCTTCCCGACTCACAATAATAGGATCACGAGAAAGAACGGTTGCGAAGTGATGAGCCAGAGGCTCATCCATCCCGCCAGCTAGCAGACTCTGCTTGAGTCGTTCGTCGATCGGTTGCGAGGATGTCTTGCTTTCCACATCTAGTGGCTTCTCTGATGAGACATATGTACGATTCCAGGAATAACGAGGTGGCTGCCGCGGTGAGTAACTCTATGGGCATATGGTAGGAATCTCACTTACAATTGTGGCCAGCTCCTCTGTTGTGCGGTCATCCAAGGAAGCAGAGATGTATCCCCAGCGCGTATCTGTGTCTACCAAATAGCCTTTGTAGATAGGTGTTGCAGCGGTCAATGCCAACATAAGCGGCCCCAAAACCATGAGCTGATCGTGTAGCCATCGAGCTTCAGGCTCATTTGGCGTTTGCATTGTGACTTGAATGCAACAACATCCCATCCCAAGTTCGGGGCAATCGAGATATATGTACCCTTCCTTAGGGTCTGCTGGTGGCAACTGCTGCGATGCATACTCGTACGACACATTCTCGTCGTAGAACGGTTGCTCGGTCAATTTGTCTCGAAAGACCGGAATGTGGCATTCGAATCGTCCTTGTCGCCGGGTAGCCAGGTTCTCTGTCGCCATGATGTAGCGTGTACTTGGATGGTAGACTCGGCCATCTGGAGCATTTCCTGAGAATCTTTCGTCTGGCTCTGAGGCTGTGAATAGCCCCCGTGTACCCAGACCAGGCAAGACACTAAGAGTCACAGGATGTTGATTCGGTAGTAGACACTGTCGAATCAGATCTCGCCTAGACTCAGACGATCAAATTAGAGCCTGGCAAGATAGCCGCAGAATATGACTTGCCGTAGCCGCATATTGTTTTCCACCTTCAGTAGTGCGGTAATCTCTCCTCCGTATGGCTTCGCGGGAGTTGCCTCAATCATATACCGACCCCATTCTGGCTGAAAAGAGACTGCAGTCCACGATTCGCTAGAAGTGGTCAGGTGACTAGTCTTCTCGTCTTATTTGAAAGGGTTATATGTTCTTACTCGTTCTCGCTTGCGCAACGCTTCTCATATTGGCGCAGAACATCCTCCTGGCTCAAAAGCAGCGTAGCCTTGGATGCTTTTGCATCAACATTGATCAAAGTGTACTCGATCTAACCAGTAAGCAAACGATCACACCTCTGACGAAGGGCGAGTAACTTACTTCATCTCCCCAGAGGGCCTCGGGGTCAATACGATATTTTTGCCTCGTCCAGATATGCAATAGTTGCTTGTCGCGGTTAACCTTCCTGTCCTACTAAACTGAGAGCGACTCTTACTTCTGCCGCTCCTTGGCGAGCGATAGGCGCAATGTCTTTAATTTCTTGCCAGGAGATAGGAGCCGTGTTAAGACTTGAGTCTGGAAGTCAGTCTGACGAAGGTAAGGGTAACGAGGTTGTATGCAGTTCCACATACGCGGGGCCCATTGTTGCTGGTGTTGCTAAGATTTTGTTTTTCGGCTCTCTGCTACGCCGATACACACAGAGGTCGGCATCAGAATAAATAGTTCCCCAAGGGTTTTGCATCCATTTGGTTCAGTCAATGTAAGCTTGGTTATAGGTATACCCACTGAATTCCGTGCCGATCATCCTTGAGAACTGTAAAGCACCCATCAAGGGCGTTGGCCGACTATGATTTTCGGTATACGTAATGAGAGCGGCAGAAAAGCAAATGCTCTGATGCAGCGTTGAAAGTCTATCCAGTTGCTAATTGCCAATGATGAAATCGCATCTAGCGGTAGCAAGCAATTGGGGATGCCCCTTGCATGGTGGCTTCGTCAGCGTTGTCAGGGAAGCGCCACCCGGCGGAAGTGCAAGCCATCGACGGCTCTTAGTTTCGAGAAAGGTTGACGTAGAGTCAAGACGCGTTAATCATCATTGCTCTCTCCATCATACCGAGGCGGTCATTTTAGGAAGAAGCTTGCGTGGTTGACACCCCCTGAGGCCGTCCGAGATGATCTGCTTCGACATGCATATTTGACTCCTTGGCACGGTCAATTAAAATAAGCCACAATAGTGGAAACATTGAACTCCAGGTGTCGATAGGATGCTGTCGGCCAGTTCGTTGCGCATGCGCGAAGACAATGGTCAAGACGATTCTCTGTCCGCACGCGGAGATATCGAAGGCGACGAGTGTTCGAAATTGTGAATCTTTGAACTGCAAGGGGTGCGGATCAGCTTTCGGTGCAGTTGAAATGGCTGGAGCGCGGAGATTTGCTTCGATGAGATGCTCTTCAGCGCAGACCCTTCCTGGGAGGTATATGGGTATCTCACACCGTACAGTACAATCCACAGCAGGCAGTCATCTTGGCTGCATGTAGATGCTCGTCATCACGTGGAGGACTCCCTGGTATGTGCCTCGCCCAGGGATGGCGGAGAGCCGCGTCTGCTGCGTGTCTCATTACGAAAAAGGGGTGGCAGGGAGGGGTTGGTCTCGTTCTTGAAATCGTCATCTTGAACTTTCTGTGGCTGCACAACATGAAGGTAAAAACTCTGAGAACTGGGAGAAGTTGGAGGGGCTCGCTGTCGCTCGGGAGAGAAAAAATGCCATACAAACATGAACCGATATGATAATGGGACGGTTGGTCATTCTGGGGCCCCTTCCTATTACTGGACTAGCTATTCCACGTGATCAATTTACCACATCAATGATAGTATTATATCCACTCTCATCGAACACGTATTTATGACAGGGAACAGGTCTAATTATACATTCTGAGCGATCAAACTCCACCACTTGGTCGATCGAGCGAGAGATCATCAAGCGAGATCGTCAAAGAAACCATTATTGCTCGGCCCAGCTGCTCCTCCGTCTCAGCGCCTCGCCATACCTCCACAGAAACCACGGAATGGGACACCCGATGACCAGCGCCGTGAATGCCAGAACAGAATTCCCCCAACCATACCCCAGCGCGCGGTACATGGGCGGACTAAACAAGGGAAACCCGAAGCCCGTAAGCCCCCGCAGGATGTATACACCACCGTTGGCGCTGGCCGCGTAGACACTGTACGTCTCGAGGAGGTAGGCGTTGGTGCACTGGAAAATAATCGTGGCGCCCATTAAGGGCAGGGCAATGCCGAGATCTGGAAAGATCCAGTGTGTATGAGCCTCAGCGGTCCATCCGTAAACGAACAGACCGGCTGGGATGAGAAGGCTGGCAGGAATCATCAGCGGGAGGCGGAATTCAGGGTTACGCTTTTTGGAATTCTGGTCGGGAGTGTGTTTCTCTTCCAAGCCGTCAGAACTGGCGGTGGGGGCAGGCGAATCCTGCTGTTGTTGCTGCTGCTGCTGCTGCTGCTGCTGCTGCTGTTGTTGGCGCCGCTTTAGAAAACGGTAGATTTTATCGGCAACAACAGCACAGGTCTGTGCACCGAGAAGGTAGCCTATGCATGGGGCGAAATAGTTGAGACTGCCCCGGCTAGTAGACATGTGATATTGCGTGGTCCACAAAGTAGAGAAAGTCGAGAGAACAAGGTAGACCAGACCGTAGAGGTAACCATAATAAAGAGCTAATGCCTGAACAATCGGTTGAGTAAGAAGCAAGTGAATGGAGCGCAGGAGGGTGCGTTTGTAGAGGTGAACCAGGGTCTCATCGTCAGGCTTATTGGCGTCATCCATGTCAAAGCGGGTGCGAAGCATTGCGTCTCTATGTTGCGGCGAAGACTGCAAATGATCTTTCTTGCGTCGAAGGAGAACCGGTGCATATGTCTCTTTGGATAGACAAGTCCCAATCAGGATGGTGACTCCCGCGAATATAGAAGTAGCATGGAACGCCCATCGCCAGCTCGTGTAGTCGGTGATATAGGCTCCGGCTATCGGGCCGAGACAGGATCCCAGAACCGGGCCCATGTTTAGAAGTGCAATGCTGAGACCGCGCTCCTCGGGACGGAAGCAGTCGCCTATGGTGCTTGATCCAACCTGGCTCACGCTGTTAGTGTATGGATGCCTCGTCAAGATGGGAAGGAAAAAAGAGGAAATACCGCCAGAGTTGCGCTTGCACCAAGCCCGCTCAGCAATCGGAAAGCAAGTAATTGAGGAAAGCTTCGTGCAAATCCGCCAGCCAAATTAAAGACAAGAAAGAATGCATTTCCTCCTTGTAGAACAGGTACGCGTCCCACGAGCTCACTGAGGGGACCTAAGAGCAGAGGCCCTATACTATAAGTGATCAAGAACAGTGACACTGCCAATGGGCCTGTAAACGTGGACGTGACATTCAAATCAGTCGAGATTGTGTCTACAGCTGGCGCAATGATCGTGGATGACAACGGCATCAGGAAAGTTGGGGGGATTAGAGTGAACAAGACAACCCATTTTCGAAAGTTTGGCCATCTGTGCGGATGTTCGTCTGATTCAAAATCGATGATGACCGTAGACTGGCTGTGCTGCACGAGGGAATCTTGCTTCTCTTCCTCTTGAGCGACTCGGTAGGCTTTGTCCTCCATTGTGAATATTCGATAAAAAGTGTGCGCTCATCGACCGAGCGCGAAAGAAGACATTTGACATACTTGTATCAATTGATCTGATTGGGAAATTCGAGCAGGAATAAATTGTGTTGCAGGATGAATCTGAAACCTCCAATGATGTACATTCTTGTGAAGCCACTTGCGTAAGCCCTTGAAACGACATGATGGTGTACAAGGAGCCCTTGCATGATCTTCGTCGAATGATAATATCGCGATCTGCAATTTGAATAGCCCCTGACAGGACCCGTAAGTAGGTCAGCATCGGTTTTATCGCCAAAATCATGAGGTCTACCGAATTGCCTGTCTTGGATGCCAGGGGCCGCTCATGTCATTGATTCTCCTTAGACTGAGATTACAAAAGGAGAGACGAAATCCCTTTCATGGTGTGACTGAACTCCTTTGTTGAAGAGGATGGAGGACATTATGTAAGGCCTTCTCCTTGAGTTAGAAGAGATAGCATGTAACTAGTGGCTTCATGTCTTTGTAAGGAAATGTCTCGCTCCATTCTGAGCTCAACACTAACAGCAGATACATTCTCCCGCCGGGCTATGACTGAAAGATGCAGCAATGATAGGGTCCTCTAGTTTTCCGCCAAGCAGGTGATTAAAGTAAGAGGCGATCTGCCTCTGTCGAAAGGGTCCAAAGGCAGTTTAAACCTGGCTTCTTGCGAATGATCTCACACTAAGGTGGAATACTGTATCCAAGTTGCATCAACCTTCTGGTGTTCATCAAATCACACTCGTCGGGGTCATGTATCATGGCATCGCCGATCCCAGTGGTGGTGATATCTTCATTCATCTGATAGGTAAGCTCAAGATTCAAGCTAGGTAGAGTTAACGATGAACTTAGTTATCTGCCGCGCTGGTGGCAAACAAGGATGGCTGCAGTCTTACTATGTACCTAACCTCAACGAGCTAGTCGGCTCATCTTAAGGTTCGGCCCGGAATTAGCAGTGCATTTTACACTCAGCTGGCTAGTTCAAGGCAGTCGCAAAGCCATCCATGAGCCATTCATAGATGGAGAACGGGGTTCGGGCCACATGGGCAGCAGCCTGTGTCATCTATGGCCGATTTAGAGGATACGGGTATGAATGAGCAAATGAATATTCTGCACTTGACAAGACAATCACTATGTTTTGTGCAATGTATTCTCCGCCATTAGCAACATTCGAAATGCCATCAATTCTCAAAGAATGTACAAAATGCAAAGACTACTCCACATGCTTGATCCATCTTTCGCCCGAGGCTGGCGGAGCAATGTAAGACAAGAAACACCAATCCTCCCCTGTATCATCAATGTTCATAACGCGCCACAAGCTGGCAGGGTATCAATACACGAACGCGCAAGGTTTCTCGAATACGCAGCAATCAGTGGGCGGAGCCAAGTGAGACGAGTCAAACAAAACAGGTAAAGGGAAAGGTATGATAGTGAGAGTGCAGGTATGGGCCAAAACACACAAAGGAGACGTCAAAAAGAGTGCAATCCAAGCGAGTCAAGCAAAGTGTAGGATGTATATGATGAAAAAAATGAAAATGCAGCTGATTATGTTGACCGCAGGCTGGCCAACCAGCGCTAGTTCCTAGGGGCCAGAATCGGGACGATGAGCATCGTTGATAGGTTCCTCCTGCTTGTCACTCTCGTCGTTCTTCTCAACCTCCGAGCTCGGTGCATTCTGCTCCTCTTCTGCCTCGTGGTCGTCGTCCTCAGAAGCAGAATTCTTTTCTTGAAGAAAGGTCCCCTCCGTGGCTGCAATTTCCTCCGCAGGGTTTTCCTGACTTTCTGTGTCGGACTTCATTTCAGCATCTTCCTCAGGCTGCTCAGCCGATTCCGCTTGCGCTGCCGCTGCTTCAGCTTCAGCTTTTGCTAACTCGGCTGCGCGCGCCTGTTGTCTCTCCCAGACCTCCTTGCGAATACGTTCATCCTTAGTGCGACGAAGTCTTTCAGCCTCTTCCACGCCTCCACTCTTCTTCAGCTTGCCCTCCTCAACAAATGCACCGAGTTCTTTTTGGAACTTGCCAACTCGACGAGTCTCAAGCTCTTTCTGGCGAGCCTTCTCTGCCCTCTCAATCGCTTCTAACCGAGATTCATGATTGGGTTGCAGAGCACGCACCTCTCCAAGAACGCTGTCCTTGGCTTTCACCGGGTCGACTGCCGGATCAATCACCACATTGCGCGAAGTATGACGCAGCGCAGGACCACCGGTAGCATTCTGCATCGCTTGCTGCTTAGTCGCTTGTTCAACAAGGGCAAAAGTCTGAGCAGCTTTTTCCAAATCGTCTTGAAGATCGGCTGCGAGATCTTCTTGCATAGTGAGCTGATCCCGTTCCTCGCAAACCAGCTGAAGTTCCTTCTCCCAGATTTTCGTCCACACAGGCTTCTCCCGCTTGAGAAATTCTTGCATCTTCTTGATTTCCTTGGTAACGGCACTGATGTCCTTGCTGACAGTCTCGAGTTGCCTTGGAAGGGGACGAACACCACGGCTCACCACATCCTTGCGAAGATCCTCAACGAGATCCTGAAGATCGTCTACCCGGGCCACGAGGCGTTCGGATTCTTCTGCGAGCTCCTTCTTGCCAGCATTCACGCGCACACGACCAGCATCGCCTTCATAGGATGGCACAGAAACATCTGCAGCGACAGTCTTCAGGCTGCCCGCCTTGGTACGAATCGCATTCATGGAGCTGGCAATGTCGGAAGAGAAGTTGGAATACGTCTGGCGCACAACGGCGAGATCGCGTCTCAAGCTCTGAAGTTCTGCAAGTTGGCTGTCGCTTCCTGTGATAGGGCCCTTACGGCTGTCAGCGAGATTCGAGTTGGCTAGGCCAGGCGCGGGAGGTGCGGCGGCTAAGCGAGCCATTTCTTTCGCCGCCTCCAGCTGGCGCTCCGAAACACGCTGCATCATGCTCTCTTGACCTTCAAGAGCACCCTTGACGCCTTCAATCAAACGACGAACTCCACCAAACTCATCATCGAAATGCTTCTTGACTTCATCCAGAATGTCAACATTGAGCACCAAAACAGATCGGTCCTTGACGTCACTCAGGTCCTCCAGTTCGTGGCGTACGCCAGAAACGGGATCCTGGATATAAATC